TATATAGATATATATAGATATATATAGATATATATAGATATATATAGATATATATAGATATATATAGATATATATAGATATATATAGATATATATATAGATATATCTATATATATCTAGTATACTCACTGTGTAGCTCAGGCTGGTCTCAGCTTTGGCAGCAATTGTTCTGCCATTCCCAGCTTCTACAATTTGTTTGTTTTGTTTTGTTTTGGGTTTTTTGTTTTTGTTTTCAAGACAGGGTTTCTCTGCATAGCCCTGGCTGCCCTGGAACTCACTGTGTAGACTAGACCAGGCTGGTCTCAAACTCAGATCTGCCTGCCTCTTCTTCCCCAGTGCTGGGATTAAAGATGTGTGCCACCGCTGCTCCAACTCCACTGCTGCTTCTACAATTCTTCTTTTTTAAAATTGGTTTATTGATTATGTAATAGTGTTCTGCCTGCAGGCCAGAAGGCATCAGATCTCATTATAGATGGTTGTGAGTCACCATGCGGGTGCTGGGAATTGAACTCAGGACCTCTAGAAGAACAGCTAGTGCTCTTAGCCTCTGAGCCATCTCTCCAGCCCCTACTTCCACAATTGTTTTTTTTTTAATTATATACTTTTATTCATGTGCATTGTATTTTTGCCTGCATGTATGTTCATATAATTGTTGGATACCCTGGAACTGGAGTTGCAGACAGTTGTGAACTGTCAATGTGGGTGCTGGGAATTGAACCTGGGTCCTCTGGAAGAGCAGCCAGTGCTCTTAACCATTGAGCCATCTTCCCAGCCCCACACTTCCACAATTCTTAACCTCAGTTTTCTGAATCTATAGTATTTTTCTTTTTCTTTTTTTTTTGGAGCCTATCCTGGCACTTGCTATGGAGACCAGGCTGGCCTTGAACTCACAGAGATCCGCCAGCCTCTGCTTTCTGAGTGCTGGGATTAAAGGTGTGTGCCACCAACACCTGGCTGTAGTATCTTTCAATGTGACACAAAATGCTTAGACATAAAGTTCCTGGAAAATGAATCAAACAATATTTCTCATTCCAATTGAAGATAATAACATGCCACATTGTGTTTCTTGCTTTTTTTGTTGGTTTGTTGTGGGATAGGATCTCACTCTCAAGTCCACCCTGTCTGTCCTGGACCTCACGGTGTATTCTTGAATAGTCTTAAATTTGTAACTGTCTTCAGCCTCAGTTGCCACTATGCAACCACACCCTCTGTCTCCATGTAACACCATGTCTGACACTGTGTGCTGTGAAAATTGTTAGGGAATGGTGATAAAGAGAAGCCTGAGCCAGTGGTAATAGTTCAGGCCTTTAATCCCAATACTTGGGAGGCAGAGGCAGGCTGATCTCTGAGTTAGAGGCCATCCTGGTCCTGGTCTACAGAGTGAGTTCCAGGACAGCCAAGGCTACACATAGAAACCCTGTCTGAAAAAACAAAAACAAAACAAAACAAAAGCCTGTGCCTAGCAGTGGTGGTACAAGCCTTTAATCCCAGTACTTGGGAGCAGGGGTAGGTGGATCTCTGAGTTCAAGATCAGCCCAGTCTATAGAGTAAATTCCAGGACAGGCTCCAAAGCTACAGAGAAAAACCTTGTCTCAAAAAACGAAAAAGGGAGTCTGTGTGTGTTCAGAGCAGAGGAATTTTTTTGAATACTTTAATCCATACTTTGTTGAGCCCGAGATATAGATGACTGACTATTTATAGAAGGTTAGTCCAGTTGACCTTAAAATTCAGCAAATACCCAGGCCTTCCCACTCTTAGAGTGCTCAGGTTCCTCCAGCTCAGCAGGGCAGCACTTGATTGGAGTTTTTGTTGAATTTTAGAATTCCATCATGTTCACATAGTTTCTCCGATATCATATATTTACTTACCCATTTATTATTTTCTGCCTCTGGCTTAAAATGCATGGACTCAAGTAGGAGTATAGCCTAAGGGCTTGGTTACAGAACAGTCTACACATTGTTGGTGGGAACTTGCACCTCTAAGCCCAGGATTCTGACTTGATTTCCTCTTGAAAGATCTGAGAATGTTTCAGAATTAGTTAACAGAAATATTAAGTCCCCCCCCCCTTTATGTTCATTTTTTGTTTGTTTGTTTATTTGAGACAAGGTCTCACAGTGTATTCCTGACTGGCCTGGAATTTGCTGTTGACCAGGTTAGCCTCAAACTCAGAGATTGGCTTGTTTCTGTCACTTGAGTGCTGGGATCAAATGTGTGTGCAACCATGCCCAGTTTAAGCATTTTAAAAAACCCATTGTAATCCTAATGTTTAGAAAAGATAAATCTTGAGCTACATTGAAAATGCTATACAGAAAAAAAAAATTAGCCGGGCGTTGGTGATGCACACCTTTAATCCCAGCACTCGGGAGGCAGAGGCAGGTGGATCTCTGTGAGTTCGAGGCTCCAAAGCTACAGATAAACCCTGTAAATAAATAAATAAATAAATAAATAGATAAATAAATAAACAGATAAACCAATAAATAAATAAATAAATAAATAAAAATAAAAATAAAATGCTATACAGCCAGGCACCATTGGATGATTTAATCTCAGTTGCTTGGTTCTGTTCTCTCCCATTCTTTTTTTCCTTACAGCTTTTCAGCTTCATGTTTTTGTATGATTCTAGTAGGTACACAGCTTTCGTTTGTTTAAGCCTTCCATTGACCATCCTTCTCAGAAGGCAAAGGCGGTGGCTGTAGAGAAGTCCCAGTTGTGTATGTTTCTAAAGAGACAGTCATTGGTTTTAATCTCACAGAGATTAACAGTGTTAACAGATGAAAGTTGTATTTTCAGGTTTTTCCTTTATTAGCTACAATAAAGCTTTATACATTTTTTTTCCTGTTTATTCACAAAAGAAAGGTGGTGGGAGAAGCTGTGGAAGATCCCTGAATGCATCAGGGGATGGGATGATCCACTGAAACTCCGTGTTCCTAGCCAGCTCGCTCTCCAAGGTGGCGTGACAGATGCGAGGGTCTTCTCAGCTGGGCCTAGTACATTTACTATTGCGATGCTGAGTGCTTTAGAGAGTCTTGATCCCAGAGCTCCCATAAACAGGCTGGCCGAGCTTACTGCATGCCTCCGCATCCCTTGCTGCTTGGATCGTGGGCCAAGATAGTGTCACTATTCCGTGTATGAGTTTAAGATGCAAGCATTAGGTAGTTAATCCCTTAATATCTGTAGGGTAGGTTGTTTATATATGTATTGATACATGAAGGTGTGGAGACTTTTTTTAGGACATTTAGAGAAAAGTTTGCTGTTAAATTTACTTACTGTGATTCTGTCAGAAAGTGACTTTAGTGCCCCAGCAATGATCTGAATGCCTTTATATTATGCAATGCTTGACTTAAATCTTCCTTTCTCTTTTTATCTAAGAAATGTACCTCACAGCTAAGGCAATGCCATCTTGGGAAAACCAGTAATCAAGAATAATCAGACCCGTGCTGGGCCTGAGGTTCATGACACAGTGATTCTTTCTCTCGGTGGCCCCGTGCCACTAAGCATTAGGCTATATGATGGTGTGTCTTTGCTGTCATGTGAATAGGAACTGAATCCTCCACACTTGATCTTTAGAAAGCATTGCCTGATGTAGATAGACCCAGCTTTCCTGTGGCATGGACAGCCTGTTTTCTGTAAGGCTGGCATTTTTGGTGCATGAGTGTGTATGGTTTTGGAGCTTGGTGTTGAATTCAAGTCCACATCTTACCCTTCCTTCTAACTGGCCGGTAGAGATCACTACCCAGTGCTCATCAAAACGTGGAACAGAGTGAAGTGACATGCAAAAAGCTGCTAGTAGTATTTTCAGGGGAGTGTTCCTGGAGTGGAGTTTTTGTGGGCTTTTCCTTCCTCAGTTTGTCCTTTATTATCCTTTCCATGAAGCAGCAGCAGCAGATTGAGCCTTAGCACCGGGGAGAGCTGTTGTGTCGCTTCCTCATGCTGACATATTTACTAGAGGGTAAAATCAACAGACTTCTGGTAAGAGTGGCAGTCGAAGGGAAGGGCTCACCTGACTTCAGGAACCCGTGTCAAACTGTGGTTGGTGCTTTGGACCTGCATGGTGGGATAGGGACCTGGAAGACCTATTTATTGTACCAGACCAGGAAGTACTTACAAGTACGTCCTGTCCCTTCACATAGCTGTGAAATTTACTTAACGGAAATTTACTTAATGGAAATGTTTGTTTTGTCTGTAAGACTGAACTAGACTACAAGAATGAGTAACTGCTCTAGATCTTAAGGTGAGGAAGGACAGAGCTTTGGGAAGAGCTGGAGGAGGAGCCTGTCAGGCATAGGCAGGGGTAACCCTTGTTGAACTACAGTCAGTCTGTTTGGTTTGCTGTTGGTAAATGAGCAGTGTGATCTTGCTTGTGTTTCTCTTTTTGGCTTTTCATGTTAAAAGGGGGCATGTAAGGCTATCATTGATAAATAGTTTACTGGGAAGCCTTTTTGGAGAATACTTACCTAAATATCAACATTTTTCTTTTTAAAATAGTCTTTTCATCTCAGCCTAGTGATGAGGAATCCAGTAGCGATGACACCAGCCATGAGCCCAGCCCTGTCCCAAGACGCCGCCGCAACAGGAAGAAGACTGTTTCTGTCTCAGAGTCTGAGGAGCCACCACTTGCCGAGCCAGAAGATGAACCCTCCAAGGAGCCGAGTAAACGCCACTTTAGTGGTGGTCTCAACAAGTGTGTTATCCTGGCTTTGGTGATAGCTGTCAGCATGGGATTTGGACATTTCTATGGTAAGTTTTAGAAACACCTTGTGCAGAAGGCACTTGCATATAGCAGCAAGGCAAAATGGCACACAGAAGCAAGGTTGGGGTTGGTACTATGGCCTGTATATATAGCTAGCTACTTTACTCAGGCAGAGTAGAGGATTGCTGAAGCTCAGGAGTTTGACGTTAGCCTAGGCAACATAGCCACACCCTGTCCCAAAACAAAACTTTAACAATGTTTTTTTTTGAGACAAGATCAGGCTGGTTCTCCAACCTATGATCTTCCTACATCAGACTTTCAAGTATGAGTGAGGACTATTAGCATGCATATTTGTGGCTTGTTTGTTTGTTTGTTTTGTTTTCTAAGTAAGAAGATTGGAAGATTAAAAATCTGAAGTTAGCCGGGTGTTGGTGGCACACCTTGGGAGGCAGAGGCAGGCAGATTTCTGTGTTGAAGCTAGTCTGGTCTACAGTGAGCTCCAGGACAGACTCCAAAGCAATAGGAAAAACCAAAAAATAAAAAATAAAAATCTGAAGTTGGGGAGTTAGGGCTGGAGAGATGTCTCAGTGGTTAAGGGCATAGCTAATGACTATTCCAGTAGATCCAGGTTTAATCTCCAGCACCCAACTCATGTGGTGGCTGTTTCATAACCATCTGTAATTCCAGTTACAAAGAATCACCCTCTTCTGATCTTTTAGGGCACTGTGTTACACATAGTACACAGACATACATGCAGGCAAAACACTCATAAAAAACATGAAGATGGGGGCTGGAGAGATGGCTCAGTGGTTAAGAGTACTGACTGCTCTTCCAGAGGACCCGGATTCAATTCCCAGCACCCACATGACAGCTCATAACTGTCTGTAACTTCAGTTCCAGGGGACTCAACACCAATGCACTTAAAATAAAAAAAACAAACATATAAAGATGTCTGGGCAGTGGTAGTGCAGACCTTTAATCCCCTGTCTAAAGCAAAATAAAAATCTGAAGTTGGATGTGGCATATATGTAATCATGTAGGAGACCTAGACATGAGAGTCTCAACTTAAGACCCTGGGTTCACAGAAAAAACAAATCTGAACTGCTTACCTTGGGACAGATTGCTATAATTTGTTGCATAGTATTTAAATTCCAGCAAAATAGTCTCATTGTGGTAGGCAGGGTGTGGTTCACCTCTACAATCCTAGCCCTTGAGAGACTGATGTGGCAGGAGAGTTGCCAAGAGTTCCAGGACAGCATTGAGTAGTTGTGATACTATCTGAAAAAAGAAAAACAGCCGGGCGGTGGTGGCGCAAGCCTTTAATCCCAGCACTCAGGAGGCAGAGGTAGAGGCAGGCAGGCAGGCAGGCAGGCAGGCAGGCGGATCTCTGTGAGTTCGAGACCAGCCTGTTCTACAAGAGCTAGTTCCAGGACAGCCTTCAAAGCTACAGAAAAAAAAAAAAAGAAAAAAAAAACAAAAAACCAAAACCATTGCATTTGAAATGTTCAGTAATTAGTGCTCATTCTTTTTACTTTGAGGAGCCTTCTTTTGTTAGTATAGTTACAAATCTTTATATAGCTGGTCTATAATAAACTATTTTGTTAGGTAAAATGACTTTTTTTTGGTAAATGACTTCTAAATAGTGTATGTATATGAGTATCTTTCTCTGGACACTTAGCCATGAATTATAGCTTTCTAATTCATCATTCTAAACAGTCATACAGATGTTGGCAAGCTGTCATGGCTTAGCCCCTCTACAGTAAAACCTAGATATTCCTTGAGGTTGGATGCAGGGGTCCTTCTGTGACATCCATTGCTGCCTTCCTGTTTCTATGAGTTTGAGGCCAACTTGATCTACAGAGGGAGTTCCAGGACAGTCAAGACTAAACAAAGAAACCCTGTCTTGAAAAACCAAAAGAAAGAAAGAAAAACAAAAGAGCATCTCACTGATTCTTTTAAGTCCTGTAATTTTTTGGAAGCTTTAGCCATGGCATGTGCTATGGCATGTGATAGACGATATCTCTGGAGTTCTCTTTTATCCTTTATGTGGGTTCTGGTGTGCAGGCTTACACTACAACCACCTGTCCCTGACATCTTGCCAGCATAAGGTCTGTATTTTTATAGTTTGAGAACTAAGCCTTCCCATTCTCTTCTTTTGGATTTGCAGACTAGTTCAGTTTATTCTTGTTTTGTTTTGATGCAGGGTATTACTCCATAACCCAGGCTGAGCTCTGAGTGTTGGGATTACAGATCTGTACTGCCATGTCTGCCTAGCGGAGTACAATGTACTTCAGAAATAAATGTCTCACATCTCATCAAGTTCACAGTTCTTTTTGTTGTTGTTGTCTGAGACAAGTTCTCTCTAGTTAGCCCCAGCTGTCCTGGACTTTACTGTGAATCTCTGGCTGGCCTAGAGTTCATTATGTAGACCAGGCTGGTCTCAGACTCACAGAGCTGCATCTGCCTCTACCACCCCCCCTGCTGATCTGTGCCACCATGCCTGGCAACATGACAAATCTTAGTTTACCTATGTAAACTACTTTTAGGTTTACTAATTTTCTTGGTCTACATAATCTACAGTTAACTTTACATTTTGGTAGTTCTTTCCAACAATATGTTCTTTCATGATTGTGGTAAAAGTAGTTGATAGAGAGCATGATATTGAAATAAAATGATGGGGCAGTCCATGTTTGGTAAAGTCAGAGTTGCTGAACTGTGTTTTCTCTGTTCAGATTGAGGTGGTCTTTGGGCTGGTGGAAAGGCACACTTGCCTCTGTGAAGGGTGAAGCCAATGAGTCAGTGTTTCTATGTGTGTTTTTGCTTCCCTACAGGTAAACATGAAGGAAGCAAGGGAAAAGGTCTAAAATCTTTTTTTCTTACTAAAAGCCAAGAGCTGAATATTAACTTTGATGTTAATACAGACTACACTAAAACCTCACAATTTGCATGACTTTGGAATATTTTTTAGAAAGTACAGTGAAGAATAGTTCTTTTAAAACCAAGAATTTTTTTTCCTTGTTTGCTAGTTTTAACAAAATTAACACATTGTCTTCGTTCCTATACATTTTCATATTAGCCTCATTACAACATAAGAACCTTGGATGATACAGTATGTGAAATGAGTGTACATGGTAAATCTGAGCCCTGACTACAGAGGCCTTTCATTCATCATCCTCACTTATAGGACAGGACAGTGAGCTGGGCAGTGCTGGGCAGTGGGCTCCATACTAAGAGCCATTCTCCAATCTCCATAAGCAGCCACCTGCTATTAACAGTATTCAGAGCACAGCCAGTCTCGGCTCCATAAAAGTGTGGGGTTTCCTGTCTGTACCAGAAGAGAAAGCAAAGGATAGTACACAGTGTGCTCTAGCTGTGTGACAAGATTCAGATTCTAAAAGTACATCTGAATTTTAGGAAGGAAAAACAGCAAAGATAAAAATCTACATGAATGCTAACACCAAAATACATGCTTGAAGTGCTTATCCATCCCTGCTCTTCTCATCTCTCCACACTCAGGAGATAGAGGTATTGACAGGGGAGGCTGTCCACCTCTTCAGAGGTTCTAATTGTAACTAGATGTGAAGTTACATAGCACAAATAGGCATTGAAGTCCACAGCTGCATGAGCTTACCGAGTCACCCTTGAATGGGCTTTTAGAAAGCTTACGATGTAGAACATTACAGCAACTGAAACTCTGATAGTTCCTTTTGTAACAGTAACAAAGACTGCCTATATTATAGGGAAAAAGGGTGTTTTAAAAGTGGTCAAAATGGGGGCTCAGAGGTTAAGAGCACTTGGCTGTTCTTCCAGAGGTCCTGAGTTCAATTCCCAGTAACCATATGGTGGCTCACAACCATCTGTAATGAAATCTGGTGTCTTTGTCTGGTGTGCAGATATAAATGCAGGCAGAATGAATTCATAATAAATCTTTTTTTTTAAAGTGGACAATATGGGATGTTAACTGTGGGAAAGTTTGGTTTATTGAGCAACTAACAAACCGTAAAAAAAAAAAAATACAAGAAGTTATAGGTCAGCTGTAACTGTTGATAGTTTTGTATCCATATTCTGGTGCTGAAGGCCTTTGGGTGTTGGACTGAAGGGGGAATGAGGTTGTTAGTACAGTGAGGTTTCCCACCTGGATTTATGCATTGGTAGTCTGTTTAGGACGTGTGTTAGCTGCTTCCCATTACAAGTAGAGGGTTTCCCAGGGGACGAGTCCTGCTAGACAATAAAGTAGCTAGATGTGGTGCTAGACCCTCTACCACTGAGCCGAATCCCCACTCCTATATTGAACGATGTTCAGAAGTGGATTTCAAGATCTGTAGAAGGAATTAAAATGGATTGTTACATCCTATGTTTGGACTTCTACGTATAGTGCTATGTCCACTATATAGGCTACCAGATGTGCTTTTTGGTTTAGTGGTATATTTTCTTGTGCATGTAGGAAGAGCATGCAAACAACAGTCTGTCTTAGCAAAAGAACATTTTAAATTTAAGGTCAAATATGAAGGAATTGTCCAAGGACTGGGTAGTGAACTGAAGGTTTTTACAGATGGTAACTAGAGGCCCTTTCCTGAGCATATACAGCCTCTACCCTATTGCAGAATTCTTTTTGTTTTGTTTTGTTTTGTTTTGTTTTGTTTTTCGAGACAGGGTTTCTCTGGAGCCTATCTGGCACTCGATCTGGAGACCAGGCTGGCCTCGAACTCACAGAGATATGCCTGCATCTGCCTCCTGAGTGCTGGGATTAAAGGCGTGAGCCACCAGCGGCCTGCTCTATTGCAGAATTCTTAAAGGAGTTGGCTCTGAGGGCCAGCAATACGGTTCAGTGGGTAAGGATGCTTACTTCCAAGTTGATGAGCTGAGTTTAATCCTTGAGAGCCACGAAGGGAAGGAGGAAGCCAGGTCCTACAGGTTGTCCTATCCTCCACATTTGTGATGGCATGCATGTGCCCCCTCCCCCCCACCAAAAGTATATTTTTTAAAAAAGTAACCTCAGCCTTTAAGAAGTAGAGGGAGGAGAATCAGGAGTTCAAGATCATCTTCAGCTAAATAGGGAGTAGACGACATCCTAGATGACTTAAGACCCTGTCTCAAAAAGAAAAAAAAAAAAGACGAATTTGGCTTTGAGAAGGATGGATGTTTGTAGTTAGATTTCCTGTGCCATACTTCAGTATCTAGTAGGAAAATTATTAAGAAACATACATTTTTATTTTTCTTTGGCTCTTGACATATAGGAAAAGAAATACACGGATGGCTTACTTATCTCTATTAAGGGGTTTGAAACACTTCAGAGATCCCAATGAAAAGCTGAGCACCTTCAGTATAGCAAGATGAGAATTTTTTTTTGTTATTATCACTATTAAAGTGGCCTGTGTTTTTCTTTGGAAGGGTAGTGAACTGCTTAAATGTTCCTGTGTGCATGCTGAATGAGTTAACATACATTATTAATCTGCTTGGCCTGAGCTTTAGTACCCACTGTCATTTGATGAGTGACTGAGTGCTTCGTGCAGTTTTGAGTAATGGCAGTCATGCTATACCTAATGGTTTTTCCTTTCAGGCACAATTCAGATTCAGAAGCACCATCAGTTAGTCAGAAAGATCCACAGAGATGAGCTCACTGATATGAAGGACTATCTCTCACAATGCCAGCAGGAACAAGAGTCTTTTCTAGATTCCAAGGTGCGTATTAATTAAACATTGAGAAATAACGATCATTGATGTAGAGATAATTGTTTGATCTAGGTGTGGTGCACGCACACACTATAACCCTGAACTAGAACATGAGGACTGAGGTGGTATAGATCAGGCCAAGTTCAAGACTAGCCTTAGCCTCAGAAAGCCAAGAAGGAAAAGAGTATAGAAGCCAACAGTTCAATTGCTTTGATGCAGTTGCAGCAAAGATGGATCAGTAAATAATTGGAACGAGTGAGATGGCTCAGCAGGTAAAGGAACTTGTTACTAAGCCCCTGCTCACTTGGTAGGAGAGAACAGATTCCCCACAGCCACAAGTTGTCCTCTGACCTCCACATGCATACCTACAGACAGTTTGAAACACTAATAAATATCATAAAAAATTAAAAATAATAACATTGATATGTTGTTTAGTTCTTTTATACATGTTACATTGGTGTACAACATGTAATTTCTCTTGGCACACATGTGAGTGAAGTAATCTGATTCATTTTATAAATTGATCTGCAAGGCTAGCAAATCTAATTGGATTCCAAGTGTCTAACTTCAAAGATTACCCCCCTCCCTCCTGACACAAGGTAGCTCTGTGGAGCCTGTCCTGGAATTCACTCTGTAGACCTCTGCCTCTGCCTCCCCAGTGCTGGGATTAAAGGCATGTGCCAACATTGCCTGGCTTCAAAGATCTTTTAAATTTGGGGTAGGGTGGGATGGGGTGAGTGTGCGTGCGCGTGCGCTTTGCATGCGTGGTGCAAATGTAGACATCAGTAGACAACTTCAGGAGTCAGTTCTCTGCAATCCATCAATCAGGTATGAGGGAATCCAGTTCAGGTCATTAGACCTGGCAGCTGAGCCATCTTGCAAACTATAGTTTTAAATCTTAGGTTTTTTGTTTTTGTTTTTGTTTTTTTCCTGAAGAGTTAGTGAACAACTGTTTCAGTTAGTTGTTTTTCACATGTAAAATTCTACTACTCTTTTTTTTTGTTTGTTTAGTTTTCTGAATTTAAGTTTACTTGGATTTGGGGAAGTAGTTAATTATGTTACCAGGATTCATACTGTCATCTGTGTACAGAGATGTTTCAAGAAGACTCTGGATTTACACACTGACACAAAGTAGCATTTCAGCCACCCTAGTGCTGGGATTAAAGGCATGTACCACCATACCATGATGCCTTCTGAATATTTTTAAATCTACATTGGTACTGAGTCTAGGGCTATGCAGATACCAATGGCTGATTTCCTGTTTATTTATAGAAGGCAAATGCAGATAACTGTAAAATGTCTTAGTTGTTGAGTGTGGCGGCCTGCACCTTTAATCCCAACACTTGGGAGGCATATCTCTGGATTTGAGGCCAGCATGGTCTACATTCTGATTTCCAGGACAGCCAGGGCTATGTAAAGAGTTCCTGTCTCAAAATAAGTGAATAAATAGAAAAATCTTAGTTCTTGAATCTGTAGGCACCTTTTCAGGACAGCTCCCGTAATAACAGGATGGAAGAGCTTCCCACACTTTTCCAGTTTACAGATGTGTTTAATCTGATGGTGTGTCTATATGCAGCAATGAGCATTGAATCTGGTGCCTTGGGTTTGCTAGTAAGTGCTCAGCCCTTTAGTATATTTGAGACAATGGAGTTCTGCCTAGCTTGTCCTTGTTTGAATGCTTTCCTCCTCACCAGTGTTCTTGATTTGACAGAGCTGCCTGCCACACATTTCCTCCCATGTGACCCTTGTGGTTTCCTTTTTATTTTCGAGAATGAGAAGCTTCTTAAATATATGACAAGTGGCATTGAGCATTTTTTCCCAATTTCTAATAGTGTTTATGCACACCCAGAAGATTTGTGTGTATGCTCATATACATATATACATATATGTGAGTAATAAAGGTTATGGTTGTTACATGATAAAGATTTAGATTAAACTTTGCAAGCATTTGACATTTCTCATCTTTTAAAAAAACCCATCTAGTCACTAAAAGAAAACCTTGAGAGGTGTTGGACTGTTACCGATGCAGAGAAGGTCACCTTTGAAACTCAGAAGAAGAATCTTGCTGCAGAAAACCAGTATTTAAGAATCTCTCTGGAGAAGGAAGAGAAAGCCCTGTCTTCACTGCAGGAAGAGTTACGGCGACTGAGGGAGCAGATTAGATTGTTGGAGGATAAAGGCACAAGTTCCCAGTTAGTTAAGGAGAACCAGGCTCTTCAGCAGAATTTAGAAGTGGAAAAAGAGAAAACAAACAGTTTCCTTAATGAGAGGGAGACTCTGTTAGAGGAAGCAAAGATGCTGAAGAGGGACCTGGAGAGAGAACGGCTCACAGCGATGGCTCTGCGGGCAGAACTTGAGCAGTTAGGTCCTTGCCAGGCACAGGACCACACAGATTCTCCCAATGTGCAGACTGAAGAGAAGGAAGTCGTGCTGTTACAGCAGAGACTTGCCGAGTTGGAGCAGAAGTTAACCTTTGAGCAGCAGCGCTCTGACTTGTGGGAAAGACTGTATGTTGAGGCAAAGGATCAAAATGGAAAGTTGGAGACCGAAGGGAGGAAGAGAGGAAGCCGAGGAAACCCCAGGGCTAAGAGCAAGTCAAAGGAGACATTTCTGGGCACAGTTAAGGAAACATTTGATGCTATGAAGAATTCTACCAAGGAGTTTGTGAGACATCATAAAGAAAAAATCAAGCAGGCGAAAGAAGCGGTGAAGGAAAATCTGAAGAAGTTCTCAGATTCAGTGAAATCTACTTTCCGACATTTCAAAGATACTACCAAGAATATCTTTGATGAAAAAGGCAGTAAGAGATTTGGGCCTTCAAAAGAAGCAGCAGCTGAAAAGCCAAGAACAGCTTATGGTTATTCTTCATACTCTCTGCATGAGGCATTGAACCAAAAGCAGAATTGCAGAGGCCCTTCTGCACAGAGCAAGGGAGGAAGAGAAAAGCCCAGCCACACAGAAGAAAGTAGAAAAAATGCAAATTCAGATACGCACAAGGCCAAGTTTGACTTCAGGGACACCCATTCTACCAGAAGGGTTTTTCCGGGCATGTTTGAATGTGCTGGACAAGAATCTGGTAGCTCTGTTAATGCAGCAAGTCCTGTCAGGATAAATGACTTCAGACAGCTGATTCAGTGGTACTTACTGAATGAACTGGACACTTTTCACCACTGGAAAGAACTGGATCAGTTCATTAGCCCGTTTTTCCCAAATGGTGTCTTTAGACATGACCAGAAGCTCTTCACTGACTTTGTCGATGCCGTGAAAGGTTACCTTAAGGGCATAAAGGAGTATCAAGTAGAGGATGACAGTTTGGAGAAGTTGGATCGATACATATATAGACACTTTGGGCACATTTTCGCCCTTCCATTCGGACCCAGGTCGGTTTACATAAAACCATGTTACTATAATAGCTTCTAACAGTGGAACATTGCATAGTGGGTTTTTGTTTTGTTTGTTTTCTTATCACTTTGAGCTTCTTGGAAGGTTACTGTTTGTAAGAGGCAAGCTTTATTGTCACTGACCACAATAACTTGAAAGACAGTTTTAAAATTTAACTATTGCAAACTGAAAAAAATACATGTATTATATAACCACTTAGGCTTGAACAAATGATTGAATTTCTGTCTTAAAAATTAGTTCAGGGTATATTAACTTATTTGAGCCAGTTTGGTTTCTTTCAGTATTGTTTGTATAATTAAGTGAAATTATTGCCCTTTAATCTTTGGCTTAGGAAGCTAGAAATAGATTTGAATGTGCAGTTCTGATCACGAGGACCTGCTACACGTGTAGTCATTGTTGGTTTTATGTGACAATTTAGGAGTAGTACTGATTGAAGGGTTACTATATAGTGAAGGGTTATGGATGCTCAGGAGCCACAATGCCCCGTAACGTTCTTCAAAACTGTATCGTCCTTCAGCTTTTTACTCTGTAACTGCAAATGTGTGGTGTTGACCATTGAGAGTCACATAGTTCCATTTTTATGAATAAATGCAGTGTGCCTATAAAATAATGAGACTGGTTTCTGATGTCTTTAGTTCCTGAAGCAGGTGTCTAGTGCTGTAACGAGCAGGGTTAGGAGGCTGCTTCAAGGAAACATGAATAACCCCTTGTTCTTTAGGAGTTAGGTGTGTACCAGTGGGAAGAAGATGTAGTGGCCTTAGGCAGTCTGGAGATGGTTGGGAAAGCTTCATGGTTGAAATGACCTTGCATTGAAACTTGTTTTGAAACTAGCTTTTGGAAGAGAGAGTACATAATAGGGGAGGTCATTTCACTGGAATAGAAGGTCATTTGTAAATGTGTCAAGAAATGAAGACAAGTTTCTTTACAGAAACAGGTGGGCTTGTGGGGGGGCAGTGAATCAGGAAGGTCTCTGTTTTGTCCTCAGGTATCCATCCTGTGAGATGGAGACTTTCTGAAGCATTTTGTCATGGGGTGGGATTGTGCCTAGCCTTTTAGATGACTGGCATCAGCCAGGAGAGTTGATTGGCAAGCTGTGATGCCAGCTGTGGTGGTCTGCACTTGAGAAGCTGTTGAGGTGGTAGGGAAGAGACATGATACATGATACACTTAAAACAACTCATAGTGAAACAGTTATATCTTGTGTAAGGGGAGTAGAAAGGAAGTGATTTGCATGTATCTGGAATGACTTCATATATATCTTCATATATATTGATATTACTCAGAGATTACCAGAAGAAGGTACTAAGCAGAAGATCCAGAAGTGAATTGGTTTGGGGGGTGCCTGTTGACCCTTATTTGGTTAGTTGGCCAGCAATCTCTATTCAGACTCATTCCCCATTGGACAGATGATGCCAGCATCTGTCCCAGTTAGAGAAGGCTAAGCAAGAAAAGACTGCAGTGACAGCACAAGAACCCAGAGATGTGAGTCAGTGCTTAGAGCTGAGGGCTGCAGGGTAGTTGACATGGTCTTTGTGTGAAGCAATGGAGAATCCTGGTGGCGGAGTGTGAGGAAAGTTAGAGACCACTTTGATTTGCAAGATACGCATGTATATTTCAGTTGAGAGATAAAGCCAATGGAAATGAGACTTAAAAAAAAAACTAGAATAAACTGGAAACATCTCATTATTTTATTGTCACATTCCTGTTCCTCATCATTTATTAGGTTTCCCCTTCCAGCCACTGCAGGTGTATTTATGTCTTTTTTTTTTTTTTCTTGTTGTTGAAAAATAGTGATTCTCCTCTTTTCTGGTATTATAATAGAATTATATTTTATATTTTATCTTTTGGCAGTGTTCAGATAGTAGATTAACGGAAACATTAAGTTAGTTTTACTTTTAGAAAACTGAACTCTAACGTAGATAAAAAATGTGTTTACTACTTTCAGTCGACCTGATAAAAAGCAACAACGTATGGTAAATATTGAAAACTCCAGGCACCGAAAACAAGAGCAGAAGCACCTTCATCCGCAGCCTTATAAAAGGGAAGGTAAATGGCAAAAATACAGTCGCGCTAACGGAAGACACACGGCAAACCTTGAGATAGAATTGGGGCGGTTACCTTTTGACCCTAAATACTGATTCATGATTAAGTTAGGAGATGCGGATGCTTTCTACATTGTTGAAATTAAGATGAAATTCCCAAGACTTTTCATTTCTAAAAAAACTGGTTTGATGGCTTTCTATTGCGCAAAAGCAAAGCTTACTAACTTGCATTTCCCCGTAGCTTAGGTTTGTTTTAAAATTTTTTTTTCCTCTGGAAAAAAATAAAATGGTAGTTTTATTAAGGAAGTCAGGCATGAAACACTCTGCATGAAACAGGGCTTGGTTTGAGTAGCTGAGCTAAGAGCAAGCTCATTTCATGCAGGGCAGTAAGCGCCATCTTGAGGTGTGCAGTATGGCTTGAGTGAGCTGAGCTGGGACTCTCCTCTAACATATTCTACTCTTACGCTTTTGTCTCTCTGGGGGATCAAGAGCCCATTGGCTTGTGAAGAACTTGCTGACTTGTTCTTGTGAACGCTCTTGCACACCTGAACACTATGGAAGAACAATAAACTGCATCGTGAGGAAAACAAAAGGTCTCTTTCAAATCTGGTGTTCGCATTAGTGTTTTCTCAGAATGCCTCAATATGGTATATGGTACAGCTGTACCCAGTGGCTTCCTCTTCATTTCACGAATCACCTGAAGTTTCCCTCAGTTATGCCAACTTCTCTGTAGACGTCTTTACAGTTCAGTTCCCTCCTGTGTTGACTCTGCTGGTTAATCTTCGTTCGTAGACATGTACATGACTTCCAATTCGACCCTCTGGCCAATGAGTATGGAAGAAAATAGCAGTCCTCTCATAGCTCCCTGAAGTGAGGAAGGCATAGATCTCCTACAAGTAAATAAAGACATGTTTGCCAAGTGTGGTTTCAAAGAATTGTAGAGTTGCCAATTATAATTCCTCCTCTGTGACTTTTTTCTTCATGAATTCATGCAAGATTTCTCAGGAAAGGAGTGACTTGTGATAGCTAAACACAGTGAGTTAAAGAAGTAGGCTGATTTTTACTGGGGAAAGACCTATGGAACATGAGGGTTGCAATCACTAAATTTTGTCAACTTTACTGGATTAAGAAACCATTGGGGAGGGGCTGGAGAGATGGCTCAGAGGTTAAGAGCACTGGCTGCTCCTCCAGAGGACTGAGCTCAGTTCCCAGCAACCACATGGTGGCTCACAATCATCTATAATGAAATCTGGTGCCTTCTTCTGGTGTGCAAGCATGCATGCAGATAACTGTATACATAATAAATAAATTAAGAAACTACTGGGGAGCCAGGTGTTGGTGGCACACGCCTTTAAATCCCAGCACTCGGGAGGCAGAGGCAGGCGGATCTCTGGGTTCGAGGCCAGCCTGGTTTACAAAGCTACACAGAGAAACCCTGGGGGGTGAGCAGAGGTTGCTGACCAGGCATGAGGATCTGCACCCACATAGAAAGCTGGGCATGGTAGCTGGGTGCGGTGGCACTGCACATGTCTTTAGCCCTACCTAGCACTTGGGAGGCAGAGGTAGGTGGATTTCCATGAGTTCCAGGACAGCCAGGGCTACACAGTGAGACCCTGTGTAGGTAGACCCTGTTTCAAAAATAAGTAATCAGGCATGGTGGCACATACCTGTAGTCCTAACACTGGGTTATTGGAGTAGGGGCAGAGAGAGAGGAGTCTGGAGGCTGCTGGCAAGCCATAGTAGTTATGCTCCAGGTGAGAGACTAGGCTCAAAAAACGAGGGGGACAGGGCAGGGACAGGAGGAGGCATCAACTTGAGCGTCTGGCCTTTGCACATGTGTGTATACAGACATGCAAATACACATTGAAGAAACAAGACAGAGCAGCAATGAAGCACATTTGGTGAGTTTGTGTCTTTAAAGAATTGAGGGAACACCTGCCCTGAATGTGGGTGACACATTCCTGTGGGCTCTGGTCCAGTCTGAATGAAGAAAAGGGGACAGCAAAATGAACCAGGACATTCCCCCTTTTTGAGATGCTGTTCCATGTTCCACTGCAGCTGCAACTGGTAAGTTGCTCCCACCCAGCACCATGGCTCCCGCCATGATGGGACAGTGTCCCGAACCTGAGCCAGAATAAATCCTATCTCCATAAGTTGGTATTTGTTAGGTGTTTGGTCACAGCCATTAAAGGAGTAACTCATACAGAGGAGGGAAGGGATCGGTGAAGCAAATTGTTGCTAATTGTTAAAATGCTGAGTTGACTATTTCAAGTGGACGTACCTTCTCCAGAACACTGAAGGTGACCAAGTAAGTGGGCAGTGATGCATTGCTTCGAAACTCTTGTTGTAACCAGCTTAAGGGATTTAGGTAGAACATATCTGCTTCATCAAGATACTGAGTTTTTCCAGTCAAATCTGGGGGACACTGGAGAAACCTCATGGACAGAGGGCAGTGAACATGGCTGTGTAGAAAGGTCAAAATAGTTAAACGTCCCACATTTCCATATTGTTTCAGGCTGACCTTGAACTTGGGGGAGCTCAGGCAGAACTGCCTGCCTTACCTGTAGTAAGGAGTGGAGTGGCAAGGCATCATGATGAGCACGGAGACGGAAGCTGGGTCAGGACCCCTAGGGCAGGCTTGCTGAATGTGATTCATAACATCCAGAGTGCCTCTCTGATGAACTAGGCCAGTATAGAGGGCCAGCAGCACATTTGACAAAAGCAGGAAACTCACAGCTGCCTTCCGCCATGCCTTCAGGTGGGCTAGTGAGTATCCTGCATGGAGATGGGTGGTGGAATGGAGTGGAACATGACAGTCTTGCTTTTCTGTTACAGCAAATTCATTTGTATGTAATTTTCCATGCCAACAGTATAAGCCATGGTATTGTGTGGCAAATAGTGGATCAACCTCTCCTAGCACTCACTGCCATTGTGCTCTCAGGCAGGGACTAGCCTTTTTCTAGGGAGTCAGAGGTGTGTGGGGGGGAATGGCTGCCCAGTCTTAACTTGGCAGATAATACAGTCCGAGGGCATCTGATATCCTAAGATTTTTACAAAGGGATTTCTGAAATTTGAATGACGCCAAGAACAGCTGGAAGAACACAGTTATATGACTAACCTGGACTAAGATCCATGATTTTCTTATAAGGAGCAGCACCGCATGTTTGGTTATACCCAGTTAGATCCCACCACACATAGGTCTTTTTAGTTGCACGTAATATGGTGTAGTTCTCATACGCATAACTCCAAAGGCCTACTTTGCTTCTGTTGCCTGGCCCTAAAAAAGATGCTTCTGATTATGGTGCTGGGAGGTAGCTAAGCTTGCCTGGCTTCCATCTCATGCACAAGGCACAAACCACTCTATGTAAGTTAGCTGTTTGTATGTATGTGGGTTTTGTGTTTTGAGATGGGGTTTTACTATGTAGCCCAGGCTGGCCTCAAATTGAAGATCCTCATGCCTCAACCTCTCAAGTACTGGAATTACAGTTGTGCACTACCATGCTGATACATGTACTAGTAAGCTTACTACACTTAGTAATTCCATCTCCTGTACTGAACAGTGGCAAGGATTCCTTAAAAAAAAAAAAAAAAAAAAACAAGAAAACCAAGGTCACTAGGCAGTGGCAGCACATGCTTTTAATCCCAGCATTCCTGAGACAGGCCAGACAGAGCAAGTTCCAGGATGGCCAGGGCTACACAGATAAACCCTGTCTTGATAAAACAGACACCCCCAAGGTCAAGGGAAAATGCCCAGTACTTCTCTAGTATATTCTGCCATGCAGAAATACATGTTAACATTTACATTTTTGACTCTGCTGGGAAGGCTGTTAGTTCCTGTGTTTACTTGAGAAAAGAAATGGTAGTTAAGCTGGAGAACTAGTGTGGGAAGGACAGGGTTCCTGAGCTGTGTTGTGTCTAAACCTGAGTCACCGCCACAGGTGCCAGAAGTTTAGATTGCTGCTCTGTTAAGGAAATTAAGATGTATTTTCACTGACTACGAAGTCAATACTAAATCCTAAAAGAAAGATCTTATAGTGGAACTGTGAACATCAGACACCAAAATTAAGAGCATATACAGTGTTCAAGGTAGCACATAGCAGTTACATAGCAGTAATCCCAGCTAATAGGCTTAGGCGAGAGGGGTGCCAGTTCAAGGCTAGCCTGGATAACTTAGCAAGATCTTCAGGTTGAAGCAGTTGCTTTCAGGGATGAGGACTGGTATGCAACTTTGGTTTCTTTTGCCTCTAACTCCCAAGTGAAAGAATTACAAGTGTTATTTTTTTTTCCCTTTGAGACAGGATCTTTCCATGCATGTTAACCCAGGCTGGCCTTAACCTGCAATCCTCTGGCCTCGGCGATAGACTGCTGGAGTGCTGACAGGTGCCAGTTTCCCTGGCTTGTTGGCTTTAGAACACAGAGTCCGTCTTGAAGCAGTGCATGAGTAATGTTGATAGGCAGATCCAAACTCAGACCCAGTGCTCTGTCAGTGGGAAGCAGGGTCTCTACTGGCCAGGAGTAACCAGTCAACACCTAATACTTGCTGGTAGCACATCAGCACAGTGCATCTCAGCATTTCCACCTCCGGCAATAGCAACCCCTGGCTACTGGTAAGAAACCAGGATACAGGGCACACTATAAGGAACTCGTTATCCAGACATAGTCTTAAAGGACCAAGAGGCGTTCTGGCTAGGTTTTGTGCCCTATAGAGGGCAAAAGCCTTGCTGTTTTACCATCTCTTGAATCTGCCTGGCTTTTGACTTGCTGTGATCCAGAGACTGGTGGAAGGATCTGCAGATTTCAGGCCCAGGCCTCCTCCCCTCCCACTCTTCCCTTGGAACTCTGAAAACAGCATGTAAGAAGCTTCACCTGACCATCTGGGCAGTGGCAGGACTCAGGAGCTGATGTGTTCAGGCCCACACATCTAGAGCCCTTTCTCGTTCCAGTGCTTTGTCTGGTCCGTGTGAGTGAGCACGGCTGAGATGTGGCTTATAAGAATAATTGGCATTAAAAGTCACCAATTACACAGCAGTGACTGACAGTTACATTGATATGAAATCAGGGTAAATTAGGACACAAGAACAGTGTTTAGTTAAGACTTGACAGTTCTAAGGGAAGCTGTGCATGGTACAGCAAGCCTGGCATTCCATCATTGGTGGGGATGGATGATATAGTGAGATTGCTACATGTATGTTTTAGGCAAGTCAGACTCTGTCTTATCCCCTATCCCTGCCCCCCCCCAAAAAAAAGGTGGACTGGACTGGAGGGTGGATCCTTGTTTTATTTATGTTATATAGGAGAAAAGACATTTAGAAGCTAGGCAAGGTGGTTCACATCTATAATCCAAGCATTTGGTAGGCTGAGGCAAGAGAATGGACCCTGAGTTCAAAGCCAGCTGAATAATGAGATCTAGGTTAGCCCTGCCAGCATAATCAGACAACAAACACCCACAGATGATTAGATGACAAAAAGGAAACACTACAGTCACAGTGTAATTAGCAAAGTTTTCATTTAGCCTAGTTGGAAGTAAACAGCTCCTTGGGCCCTGACTGTCTCTTAATGTTTTATACTGTTTTGAGAGGATCTTGCTGTCAAAGCCCAGGCTGCTCTTGACTTGTGGCAGATCCTCCTGCCTTTCCCTCTCCAGTGCAGGGATTACAGCAATGCTGCCATGACTGGCTTATTTTAACGATTCTATCTTTTAGTGTATTCTGTATTAAACAAAACACTTACCACAGAACACCATGCAAAATGGTAAAACTGGATAGATAAACCTGAATTCTTTGTGGCCCAACATGCTACAATAAAGGATATTAAGGCAAATCATTAATTTCATACACATCTGAGAAATGAATGTATTTAAAATGAAATAAACATCTATTTATCAAGTATCTAAGATTGAATTCCTTTTTTTAAAAGATAACTTTGGTCTTCCTTTCTTGGTTTTTCCAGACAGGGTTTCTCTGTGTAGCTTTGGAGCCTGTCCTGGAACTCACTCTGTAGACCAGGCTGGCCTCGAACTCAAAGAGATCCACCTGCCTCCCGAGTGCTGGGAATAAATGTGAGTGCCCCCACTGCCCAACAAGATAACCGTTTTTCAATCATAGTTTACACTAGCCTCAAACTCTTCACACTTCCTACTTTAGTCTGTGTTGTTGGCACTGCTGGCATCACACCATACCTGGCTTCTGACTCAGGATTCATACTCCTTTTTTAAATAGAATGTGATTATGGTTAAACAATAATGTCAGAGTGAAATTATAATGCACAGTTACACTTAGAAAAAATTATATTACCAATTCAATTAAGTACTACTACTCAAATTTGCAATAGGGATACATTGATTAAAAAATATTCTAAGGGGTTGGAGAGATGGCTCAGTGGTTAAGAGCACTGACTGCTCTTCCAGAGGACCCAGGTTCAATTCCCAGCAACCACATGGCAGCTAACAAACTGTCTATAACTACAAGTCTGACACCCTTACACAGACATACAAGCCTGAAAACCACCAATGCAAATAAAATAAAAATAGATTTAAAAAATATTTTATAATGTTTATGTGTTGGGACGGGATGCTCATGCTGTAGGGGGCATTCCAAGGTCAGAGGACCAAGGAATGTGGGAGTCAGTTTTCTTCTACCATGTTGATTCTGCTGACACAGCTTAGGACGTCAGGCATGGTGGTAGGAGCCTCTGCCTGCTGAGCTATCTCACCAGTTCCTCATTTTTATTTCACAGACATGCACAAATAAGTAATTGTCTCTGACTGAACACCACATAATTACTACTGCTTTCATCCGGCATAATCTTACTGCTATATCCTAAGAAAGTAAAAACCTGCTTCTGAATAGTTTCATAATCTTAGGAACATTGAAACATTCACCTACTTGAACTAAAAGTCTTACCTGTACACCAGCAATGTCCACAGCACGGTCAGCAGTAGTATGTGCAGCCTCCTTGGGGCCAGAAAGCAGCCGTGAATGAAGAAGGGCAAGTGGGTTCCCAGGACAACTGGAAACCCTTGACTGAAGTACCAGTGCCATGGATGGGATCCATAAAAGGTCCCCAAATTCTGCAGCACGTTGAATTTCAAGAAATTAAACTGGACCAACGTCCACTGGTATAAGTGAAAGGGGGAAAAAAAATGGGTTAGTGTTAGAACCTGATCTTGGACCCAAGAGTATTTGACAGAATCATGATATTAAGTAGGAATCTAAAAACCAGGCAGCAGTCTTACATTAGTAATTCTGATTAATGATACAAATTCTTTTTAATAACTTGTCCCATCTATCTCATCTCTCTCCCCCTCCCCCAATTCATAACACAGGGTTTTCTGTGTATCCCTGGCTGTCCTGTAACCTGCTCTGTAGACCAGGTTTGTCTCAAACTCAGAGATCCACCTGCCTCTGTATCCTGGAGGCTGGGATTAAACATGTGTGTTACTACCACCCTGCTAATGATTTGTTTTTCTAAGTACTTGATGTATCTGTTGTTAACCTGTAAAAAGCTAGGTTTTAAGATTTAAGGTGGGGGCTGGGGAGATGGCTCAGGGGTTAAGAGCACTGGCTTCTCTTCCAGAGGACCTGGGTTCAATTCCCAGGACCCATGTGGAGGCTCACAATTGTCTGTAACCTCAGTTTCAGGGGATCTGACACCCTCACAGGACATACATGCAGGGAAAGCATCAATGCTCATAAAATAAAAAAGTTGAAAAAAAAAAAAGATTTAAGTTGAAGCTGGGTGGTGATGGTGCCTTTAGTCCCAGCACTCGGGAGGCAGGGTCAGGCGGGTCAGGCGGATTTCTGTGAGTTCAAGACCAGACTGGTCTACAAGAGCTAGTTCCAGGACAGCCTCTGAAGCCACAGAGAAACCCTGTTTCGAACGCCCACACAACCCCCAAAAAAAGATTTAAGGTGAATCTCATACATATTTTGGTACTGCAAGTTTTGTATTTAGAAGGTAGTTTTTAAATTTGATTTTTCTTTTAATTTTGTGTGTGTGTATGTGTGCGTGTGTGCAGTTATTCTTGGAGGTAAGAAGATATCCGATTCCTTGGAGCTGGAGTTCCAGGCAGTGTGAATAGTTCCTATGTGGGTGCTGGGGCTCCAGCTTGGGTCCTCTGCAAGAGCAGTATTTGCTCCTTACCGATGAGCCATCTTTCCAGGTCCAACGGAGGATCTTAAAAATCAGTTGGGCCAGCTGGGTGGTGGTTGCACATTCCTGTAATCCCAGCACTGGGGAGGCAGAGGCAGCCAGGTCTCTGAGTTTGAGGCCAGCCTGGGCTACAGAGTGAGTTCTAGGACATCCAGGACTACGCAAACCCTGTTTCAACCCCTGCTCTGGAGAAAAAAAAGAGAATCTATTCCATAAAGTTGCCCTCTCATCTCCAAACATCCTCCCTGACATGCATACAAATAATAAAGAATTAAATGTTTTTTCCCCCTCCAAGAAAGGGTCTCTCTGTGTAGCTTTGGCTGTGCTCGAACTAATAGTGATCCACCTGCCTCTGCCTCTGAACTGCTGTGATTAAGGGCACCACCGTCGCCTAGCTAAGAAATGAATTCTTTCTGAAAAAAAAAAAATTAAGCTGTTTTGCTTTAGACAGTGTTTCATGATGTAGTCCTGATTGGCCTTGAACTTGAGGTGTTTTTACTGCCTCCTCCTGAGTGCTAGAATTAGAGACATAAGCCACTACATCCTGCTTTAAAAATGACTTAGAAGAGGGCACGTGTGGCGCTCATGTTAACAGTTTTACTCTAATTCCTTATGCTGCCTTGTACAGTAAAATGCTCTCAGTTACAATTTGAATTGTAGCACAAAGTGGATACCAGTGACAGCAACAGTAACTCTGGTAAGCATCTTAAACACTCACTCATAGCCAGAACTGCTGCGAGCACTTTGCATGCAGCACCTCCCAGAACCTTTACTTAGGTGATCTAAGCCACAGTAATGTCCAAATAAGGTATAGCAGGAAAGTGTGAGATCTGCCAAGGTCTCACAGCTAATAATAATCTTTTAGGCTGCAATCAGAGTTATAACTCGGTATCAAGTGTGCCTTTCAGGGCCGAATACAAAGCAGTGAACGGCTACTGTCCACTGTATTGCAAACCAGATGATTGATGGACAGAGTTATTTTGGTGGACAGGATTTCTGAGTGACTAAGGGTCAAAATCATTATACATCAAACCACAGCAGAATATACCAGTAGTAATTAAATGGATTCCATTATAACTATAAAAAAAGATTTGCCTCTATTCTAAAATGTTAATGGGTCTGTTTGTGTTCTGATGGATGGGGTCTCTTGTAGTCTAACTCCACCTTCCTATACAGCTAGGGATAACCTTGACAGCCTGATCCTCCTGCCTCCTCAGTGTGGGATTGCTGGTGTGTACCACCACACCAGGCATGTGTCATCACACCCAGACTGAAATACAGAAGCACTAAAAGTCCAGCTTGAGGTTTCAGAACAGTAAAGGGCTAAAAATAGCCTTTAGCTTAATCTTATTTTTACTTACTTGGCCAAAAAAGATACGATCAATTATCAGAGACAAACTGAAGGTTATAAATCTGAAAAACAAAGTAGAATGGTTACTCACATTTGAGCCTGCTAGCTTCCAGTCCAGTACAAACCTCACTTTAAAAATGTTTTACAAGTTCACCAATTTTGGCTTTATACACTTTGAAAGATCTTTCATTGGTGAGAAGATGTACTTAAGCAAACTTAAAAAAAAAACCCACTATTTTATCTATTCTTGGATAATCAACCTGCCAACATAAAAATATGAAAACCTATTATTCAACATTCCAAATGTAATTGGCTCCAAGTACATTCGTTACAAGAGATCAACTTCCCAGACCCACTGCTGGCAGCTTCGTTGTCATCATGCTTCTAAGACTGGACTGTCTTCCTGTGTATGTGCTGCAGTTCATTCATTTACAATGCTGTGTGTGTGTAACTGTGTCTGTCACGCCGCTTTGTTCTGTTTTAGGACAGGACTCTCCATTTTTAGTTATTTAGAACACTGTAGCTACAGATAGTGTCATAGTTCCTATCAGTTGTCAACTTGTCACATCTGAGAGAACCACTACTGGGGAATTGTCTCCATCAGATTGCCCTGTGGCACGTATGTGTGGCATTTTCTTAACTGTTAACTTGATAATGTAGTGCCCAGCTCACTGTGGCTGGAGCCATCCTTGGGCCCATAGGTCTAGGCTATGTAAGAGAAGTAGCTGAGCATGCCCCAGGAAGCAAGCTGGTAGCCAGTGTTCCTCCGAGTTTCCTTTCTTCAGTTCCTCCAGTCTGCTTTGGCTTTGCTGGGTGGTGGACTATAATTGGCAAGCTGTAATTAACCCTCTCTTCCCCAAGTTGTTTTTGGTCAGTGTTTATTACAGCAACAGAAAGCTAACAAAAAGACATGGCCATATAACTTTGTTTTGTTTGCCTTGTTTTTCGAGACAAGGTGGCTGTCCTGGAACTCTTTCTGTAGGCCAAGCTGGCCTCAAATTCAGAGATCCATCTGCCTCTGCCTTCTGAGTGCTGGGATTAAAGGTGCGTGCCACCAGACTGGGCCAAACCATACAAACTTAAGTGTCCACAATATGTAGTTTTGTTGAGTAGACAAACTGCTGGTATAAACATTCAGTTGTTAAATATTTTGTTTTCCAATGTGGTGATTGTCATTTTACAGTGGGCTGGCAGTATTGAGAACTTAGAGGATGTAGGCTTAGAGGATGGCTATGATTTGATTAGGTCAGAAAATGAGTTGGAGTAATTAAAGATACAGAGAGTAAGCAGGGCACAACCCAACATAAGACTAACTTTGTCTCATTTCTACCTTGTGATTTCTTCTTGGGATTGTAGGTCATGAATGTATCTTTTAGCTTTTACATTTTTGCTAATCATCATTTCATTGTGATTATAAAGGATATTTTGTATGACTTGTCTCTTAAAACACATTGAGCCCAAGGTCTTGTGCATGATAGACAAGCACTGAGCCACTGAGTACAGCTAAGAATGTTTCTGTTTTGTTTTGAGCCTGAGTCTTACTATGCAACCCTGGCTGCCTAGAATTCATAAGAGATCTACCTACCTCTGCCTCCTGAGCACTGGGGTTAAAGATGTGTGCCACCACAGGGGCTGGAGAGAGGGCTCAGAGGTTAAGAGCACTGAATGCTCTTCCAGAGGACCTTAGTTCAATTCCCAGCAACCACATGATGGCTCATGACCATCTATAATGACATATGGTGCCCTCTTCTGGCACGTAGGCAGAAGGCTGTATATGTAATAAATAAATCTTTTAAAAAAGGAATTATTTATGTGTATGACTGTTCTGTGTGCATGTATGTATATGTATCATGTATGTGGCTTGTGCCCTCAGAGGTTAAAAATGAGTGTTGGGCCCCATGGAACTTAAGTTGTGGACAGTTGTTAAGTCACTATGAGGGTGCTAGGAACTGAACCTAGGTTTTCTGCAGGACCAACAGGTGTTTTTTAACCACCGAGACTCTAGCTTCCAAATTGGATATTTTTTAAGTAGCTGATAGGGTCTTTTATCATTTGTTTCCAGTTACCATTTTCTTGTAGTTTTCCATGTTTTGTGTCCTCTCTGGAAATGAGATTTGATTGATCATATGTATCGTAGATGCCATTTGGTCTGTGGCTTGCCCTTCTACCCTCTTTACAGCGAATCTGTTTTTGTTTTGTGCAGCTCTGGGGTCCACATGTAATCAGTCTATCACTGAGTTCTGCCTCCATTGCAAAGGCCCTCACAATCAAATGTATCAAGTTTTCCGTCCTGTTGGGGATGCTCTGGTCAGGTGGGTATTCTATTGGACCTGGCGGAGACACGGCTGTTTCAACTTACAGTAGTGGTCCTCAACCTTCCTAATGCTGCAAACCTTTAACACAGTTGCTCATGTGGTGGTGACCCCCAACCATACAGTTATTTTTGTTGCTACATGTATTCATAACTGTAATTTTGCTATTGTTATGAGTCTTTTTTTTTTTTTGTTTTTTCGAGACAGGGTTTCTCTGTGTAGCTTTGGAGCCTATCCTGGCACTCGCTCTGGAGACCAGGCTGGCCTCGAACTCACAGAGATCCACCTGCCTCTGGCTCCCGAGTGCTGGGATTAAAGGCATGCGCTACCAACACCCGGCTTTGTTATGAGTCTTAATGTAAATATGTAATATGCAGAATATCTGAAATGTAACCCCTGTGAGAGGGTCATTCAGCCCCTAAGGGGTCTAGACCCGAAGGTTGAAAGCCACTGCTTTACAGCGAGATCTATACTATTTTTAGAGATTTTCTTTTAACTTATGGTTGGAAGTAGGTTTAATTTTTTTTTTTTCTAAATCAGTTAGGTGTGGTGGTTCAAGGCTGTTATTCCAGAGACTGAATATTGGGAGACTGAGGCAGAAGGGGGTCTTTGAGTTCAAAGCCAGACTGGTTAATATAGCAAGTTCCAGGTTAAGGCCAACTCAAAAACAAAACAACAAAACAAAACAGGCCAGGCCTAGTGGGACATGTCTTTAATTCCAGCATTCAGAAGGTAGAGGCAGGCCTGGACTACATAGTGAGACCCTGTCTCAAAAAAAAAAAATCAAATCGAAATAAGAAACAACAAAAATGACTTTCTGTTTGTGGACCAACTCCTTGCTCTGCTGGGCAAGGTACACTCACTGCCTTGGAAGTCTACGTATGCTATACTAGGTGTCATAGCTGAGTGTTCACATACTGTTTAATAGTTCCTGGTCACTAGATTTGCTGATTTTAAATTTCTCCATGCTAACATCATGAAATCATATGACCAAAACTGTTATAAGGTCCTTAATAAATATAAAAAAAAATTAGGAAATGAAAGTTGAAATTCTAAGAAATAGACACCTTTGTTTAACTGAAATATGATACAGTTAATCAGTCTCATAAATCTAAAATGGGATACTGAGCCAACAAAATGGCTCAGTGGGTAAAGGTATTTGCCACAAAAGCCTGATGACCTGAGTTCACTTCCTGGAGCCCATATAGAGAGAAGAACCAGAGTCACCAAAGTACTCTGATCTCCACATATGTATGTCTTTCAGCATGCACATGTAGTGTTTAAAAAACAGAAAACACAGAGTTGGAAGTTTACTGACATTACATAGAGTAATTAGCTGAAGGATATAAAATCTTTCCCACAATCAGTCATTTACAGGTTAACAGATGTTATAGATGGGACCACAGCCGAACTTACCCTACAGGTAAAAGATGATGCAGGACCAGACAGAGCTTTCTCTGTTCTCGGTAGAAATGTCTGAAGAGTAGTGGCACCCATGGGATGAGAGCTGTGGGGCGGACTATGCAAGCCAGCGCAACCAGGAGTGAGTACTTGACACTAGGGACAAGGAGAGGTAGTTACAGGAAACTTGGAAATTGAGCTTCAAGTTAGTCGGCTATTACCACTGTGAAAGACCTTCAGTTTGGGGGCTTCTGAAATAGGTTCTTACTTACATAGCTCATGCTCATTTCATACTCAAACCTTCCTGCCTCCTCCTCCTCCTCCTCTGTTTTGTTGTTTTTTTGAGACAGGGTTTCTCTGTGTAATAGTCTTATTTGTTCTGGAACTCGATTTGTAGACCAGGCTGACCTCAAACTCACTGAGATCACCTGCCTCTGCCTCCCAAATGCTGTGATTCAAGGTGTGCAGCATCACTGCCCAGCCAGATTCTTCTTAATACTAATTGCATGTGTTATAAAATCTTCTTAATATTAATCATATGTGCTATAAAATCTACTCAACTTTAATGCTGCTCTCTTGACAGAAAACTAATAAACATTCCTAAGCAGTTATGCCAAAAATTACACAAATCCTCTCTTTAAGACGAAAATGCAGCAGGGCAGTGTGGCACATGCCTTTAATCCCAGCACTTGGAAGGCAGAGACAGATGAATCTCTGTGAGTTCGAGGCCAGCCTGGTTTACAGAATGAGTTCTAGGACAGCCAGAGTTGTCTGGAAAAATACCAAAAAAGAAAAGAAAATGCAGACCTTTAAGGAAATACCATTATTCAGTGATGGCCTTCTGAATAAATATGACTTTGTCCTTGTAGAGCAGAGATGCAGCCTAATGGAAGAGCAATCCAAGCACTGCTCACAAAAAGGTAGGTTTTTTTCTTTTATCAAAATTAAGTAAATTCTATTCACCTGAAAGACACACAGGGTGTGTGTAATTACTGATGTGTGAGTGGAGACCGAGACAGGGGGATCAGGAGTTCAAGGTGAGGCCGAGCAGTTCAGTGAGTCTTCAAGTGTTGGGATTATAGGCATGAACCACCATGCCCAGACAATTTTTGTTTGTTTGTTTGTTATGTAGCCCAAGCCGGCTTCAAACTTGCTATCTAGAAGATGCTGGCTGTTAACCCCTGATCCTCCTGTGCCTCCCAGTGTTGGCATTACAAAAGTATTAGACCACTGTGTCCAGACAGGGTCAATGATGTTTAACCTACCCGAAGTTTCTCAAACTGAATGTGACATATTCAAAGGCAAAGTTGGTGGTGCGACCACAAGTGGATAGGGCCTAGCTAGGTCTCATCATGCCAAAGACTCTAAAACAGGGAGGTAGAGACCTCAGGCTATAAAGCACAACAAAACAGCCCATTCCTCCAAACAGTCTACATCTTCTAATTACCTTACATGACTGAAAAATCCGAATTCTCTCCCAGGCTCAGGACACCAAGATGTCCTCAAGACTGAGAAGCCATTTTCTGTATCTTTACTTTTTAACTTATTGTAGCCTCCATCATATTTACAGTGACCCAAATCTAATGCAGAAACGATCTTAGTGGAACGTGGTGACAACACATGCCTTTAGTTCCAGCACTTGAGAGGCAAAGACAAGCTGCTCTCAGAGTTCAAGGCCAGCTGGTCTACATAGTGAGTTTTACGATAGTGAGGACTACAAAGTGAGGCCCTGTCTTTAAAAAAGAAAGAAAGAAAGAAAGAGAAAGAAAGAAAAGAGAAAAAGGGAAGAAATAATCTTCATATAAGACCCAAGCCTGTCTCTCTCAGTTCTTTTTTTTTTTTTTTTTTTTTTTTTTTTCTTTTTTTTTTTTTTTTTTTTTTTTTTTTTTTGAGGCAGGCTCTCTATGTGGCCTTGGCTTTCCTGGAACTTGCTACTTAGACGAAGCTAGACTCAAACTCAAGAGATCTGCCTGCCTCTGCCTCCATAAGTGCTGGGACTAAAGCTGGGTATGTGCCAGTACATTCTTTTGAAATCAGGTTTAACTCTGGTAACTTTCTATTATGTGTAGACTAAAAACCAAGGTGTGGAGCCTGGTCCCATCCCAGCCGCATCCTGCTTGTTCCTCCCTCCTTCCCACACACTTGCTCCCCACACACGTGCCTAGCACCTGCCGCCCTCTCAGCTCTCTCAGCTCCAGTTTTTTGCTTGCCATTCAGATCTGCTGACCCTCACCCATGCTGGTCAGCAGACCTGCAGGAACACTCAGCCTGCCTTGCTAATGATTGCTTTAGGGAACCAGAAGGCAGTCACAGTATGAGTGAGATTACTTATTCTCCTGGCTGACTCCTTGCCATTGCTAAGGGCTAGCAAAGCCTGTCTCCCATGGGGACCTTCAAGTAGAGCTTTACAAGGACCCCAGTACTCTTTCCTCTAGTCCCTTGGAGCTCACTGATAATAGACTGCTACTTCACTGGTCACTACAGGATTTCCTAAGCACTGTCTACGCTTTGTAACCAGCCCTTTCATTAGGTTTACCATGCAGTGTGACTGTTTTGTTTCCTGTTACACTAATCAAAAACCGTTGGTCCTTCTAAGTCCCATGGACACATGGGGATCTACGCGGTATAACATGTCGATACTGAGGGGTTTTGTGTGAACTAATTAACCGTCTTACCTGTTCATGGACCTTGAACCTTCCAGTGGATAGTAGAAAAGGGCGATTGCAGTGAGGGCAGTCTCCATGGTGTTCGTAAGGGTTCGGGTACAGCAGTACCACGTGAACCAAGAGCACAGCTGGCAAAAAAACTAAAAATTCAGGAGTGAGTACAGTGCAGTAGGAAATGGGAAGCTAAGTGTTATCTTCTGCTGATAGCACGAGCCCAGATGCTACAGAAGCTACGTCAAAGAGGACGTGTCTGAAAAGTAGACATGGCCATACACTTCTTAACCAGTGCCACACAGCGCCCTGACAGCAGATTTGCATTTCTTAATGCTAACTTAGCAGTGCTTTCTGATGGTTTGCACCTGTTAATGAAATACCTGACACACAGACATGGATGGTGAAGGTCCTAGAGGACTGACACTCCTAACTACATCAGCCAGCCAGTGCTCCACCTCCTACCTCACAGGCATCTATTCATATTGCTTTGGAAATGCTGCCCTATTTCTTCTTCTGCCTCCTCCTCTTCTGTGTGTGTGTATGTATATAAATATATGTATGTATATAAATATATGTATGTACACACACATACATATATATTTAAGAGTAAGTATTTTGCTATATAGTCAAGGCTGACTAGGAAGTTGCTTTGAGCATGTTAGTCTTGAACCAGTCAGCATCTGGCCTCCATATTTCTTTTATGGGTGGGGGCAGGGCTTCACACATTCCAGGCCAAATGTCCTGCAACTGAGCTACAGCCTTTGCCCTGGCTCCCATATTTCTTGGTGAAAAATTAAGAGAAGAGAGAAAAACAACAGTATCATGACGCATTAAATTTCAATCTGAAAACTAAGTAAAATTAGTTTTCCTGAAGAACATGGAAACCAAAGTATCAGAAGTCTACAAAACCATCTTTAGAAGGAATTCCTTGTTAAATCAACACACGGCTCTTCCCATCTCTCTTAAAAGAGCTTTATAAAAGTTTTTGATTAAAAAACAAAAACAAAAAACACCAACAAAAAAACCCCAAAGCAGACGGGCAGTGGCAGTATACGCCTGTAATCCCAACACTTGGGAGGCAGAGGCAGGTGGATCTCTGTAAGTCTAGGACTAGCCTGGTGTACAAATAGTGTTTCAGGATAGCCAGGGCTATTACACAGAGAAACTCTATCTTGAAAAACAAACAAACAAAAAACAAGCAAAAAAAAAAAGGTTCCAATTTTCATGATGGGAAAGGATTTTCTTTAAGAACTCAGAGAGGAGATCTCAAAGGTGGGCTGTGATCTTTGCTACCATTTCATGTGTGCCTTTGACAGTGTATGTAAAACAAAAACAAAACAGACAGTTGCCATGGGGCTGACTTTGTATCTGAATCAATTAGCAAGGACTTAAAACTAATTTTCTTTTTACAGTGTAAAAAACAAAACAGACCAACGGGCTAAGAGCACTTAATGCTCTATCAGAGGATAGGAATTTAGGTCCTAGCACATCCCCCCCCCCAAAAAAAAATACATGCTGCAGGGGATCCCATGCCCTCTTCTGGCCTACATGGGCACCACATACAGACACATAGAAAATAAAACACATCTTACAATGTAAGCGAACATAATGTCTGTACAAGTATGCCCTTTCTCCAGGTTACTAATACATCATGGTCCAGAAATGTATTAGTGAATGGGAAGCTTGGTATTTAAAATGTATTTTCTGATAGAAACAAAATCAGTAGTTCAGTATATGGTTCGTGAAGACAGAGTCAAGTAAGGAAACAATGGTACTACACAATCCAGTCACCCACTGGGGTGTAGTTTGACTGGGAGATGCAAGCATTAATATCCAATCCTAAAATAAACCAATGGTGCATGCATGCCTTTAATCCCAGCACTTGGGAAGCAGAGGCAGGAGGGGCTCTGTTAATTTTTAGGTCAGCCTTTTCTACATAGTGAGTTCCAGGACAGCTAGGGCTATGTAGAAAGATCCTGTTTCAAAAACAAACTAAAAAAAAACCCCACAAGAAATCAGCCTATTGACAAGATGCTTTCCCAGGCCATGCGCTCCCCCCCTTCCACAAGACCAGTTCCTTCAGGCTCCCAGCTAGGGCTGTGCTTCAGTGCAAAGAGCTTTTTCAGCCAATCCTCAGGGCTAGGGGTTGAACAGGGACACAAGCTGTAAAAGCAGCTTCCAGAGTGTCCAAAGACTAAGGAAAGAGATGAGGAGTCTTGACAGCTTAGAGGCCCAAGCGCTTCCATAGCTGACTTCTGGGATTCAGCCTGTCTCATGTGGGGCTCAGTCAGGAGATAGCATGTACCAGATTTTACTGTTTTTAACTATGGAGGAATTTCCACGAAGTTCCATGGGCCAGCTGTTTTAGGAACCATTTGCCCCACACACACACGCTCTGTATCGAATGGTGTCTAAAGTGTTTGGACTTACCACCCATCGAGCCACTTGCTGGTTTCCCACTTGCTTCATGAGCGAGTAAAGTCTTACGTCAGCTACAGCAGAGAGAAGAGCTTGGGCCAATCTGGGAATCCAGATCTTTGTAGTTAAAAAGAAAAAGGGTTGTTAAGCACATCATCCCAACTCACAGTGAACTACCAGTTTACTTCTCCCTGTTCGCCCATACGCTTGTGGCATGTGTTTAGCTTGCCGCCTCTTGCTTGCAACCCCTACCCCATTCCCCGTCTTTTGGCAAGCCTTTGCTGTGTAGCCCAGCTGGCTTTGTCTTTGCTTTTCCTGCCTCAGCACCCCCAAGTATTGGGATTTACAAGTGTGAAGCACCATACCCCACTTACCCATTTTTATATTTATGTATACCTTACAACACTGATTATCTTTTGTAGTAGTTGGTATTGAACCTAGGGCCACATGCATTTTAGGCAAGTGCTCTACCACCAAGAGCTCCTCTTGGACAGCTTGCAAACCATTTTATTGTGTTAAGATTCTATTTTAGAAGCATATTTGTTTTCATGAGTATACAGTAGGTTTTGTTTTTATGTCAAGCATTCACAGTACTGTGTGCTGGGTATCAATAGCAAGTACTTTACGTGTATCAACTCATTCCTTACTACAATCTGCTGAGGCAGGAACCGTCTAATACACGAAGAGACCAAGGCACAGGGAGGTTAGGCGATGTGCCTAAGGCGCTAGACCTAGTTAGCATCGGTGTCTGGATTCAGGTCAAGTGACTCTCCAGCCACTCACTTTGTCTTTTTATGTAAGTTTTTAATTTATGTTTAAATATATTGAAGAGTTCTATATCACAGTGTCTTTGGTACAGTGGGCTTCCAAGATAAGGCTGGGCTTTAGCAACAATAGCCTTTTAGAAACAAATTTTGTGATACTAAGACCGTCAGTTATTACCAATGAAGTTTTGAAAAAGAAATTCATCTGTATTTAACAATTTCGGTCACTTTAATTTAAACTTACCAGTAACTGAACACTGTCTTTCCCCAAAAGATGCAGAATCTTGTAAATGCTTGCAAAGATGAGGGGGTAAGTATAACCCCTCAGCCTCTCCGTCCATTCCCAGGTTAGATAGCCATATTTACTAATATCAAGGTCCAAGTGTCAAATAGTACTGAAACAAATTAATTTCTACTTCCATATATAAAGCAATACTTTTTTTGACAAAGAACTTTTAAAACAGTTTTTTTTTTTTTTTTTTTTTTTTTTTTTTTTTTTTTTTTTTGTGTGTGTGTGTGTGTGTGATAGTAGGAATTCAGTCTCTAGCCTTGGATATGCTAGGCAAGTAATATACCACTAAACTGCACCCTAATTCTTAAAACACAGGGTTTTATATTGAATATTGAATATTTGGTCAACTAAAGTCTTAATTTCCTCAAGTTAGAAATGTGTTTCTCCAGCCAGCATGGTGGCTCATGCCTTTAATCCCAGCACTCAGGAGGCAGAGGCAGGAGAATCTCTTCGAGTTTGAGGCCAGCCTGGTCTACAGAGTGAGTTCCAGGACAGCCAGGGCTACACAGAGAAACTCTGTCTCCAAAAACAAAAAGCAAAAAAGAAACCATAAAGGATATCTGAAAACCATGTGGTGTGCAACTTCAAGAGACTGCCAGTACTCATCAGGAACAAAACTTGTCTGGACTAAGAAGCAGTTAAATATTCGCAGAGCAATGGTAAATAAGACCAGGTAAATGTTTTCTCCAAGAAGATCTGAAAAGCAAATGAAAGCAGTGATTGTGGCATTAAAGTCAGGTAGCTCCTCTTTCAAATATTCAACTGTGATGTCCCTGGCTCTGGCTCCTGATATTAAGGCCCTCCACACCACTCCACAAATGTCATCTAGCTCAGAGTGGGACTCTTGCCTGCTTGAGGTCCAGAGTGTGTTCTCTAACAATGTATGGGGAACCCACAAATACCTTCCACCACCACAAAAACCACCCCCCCAAAAAACCAAACAAAAAAAACCAACAACAACAAAAAAACAGACACACACACACACACACACACACACACACACACACGCGCGGGGGGGGGGGAGAGAGGGGAGAGAGCGCGAGAGAGAGAGAGAGAGAGAGAGAGAGAGAGAGAGAGAGAACGAGAACCACTGGTGATTCCTTTCCAAACCTCTGTTTTACATGTGAGGAAGCTAAGGATCAGAAACTAAACTGCTTTGCCCAAAATGAAAATGCTGGCCTGCAGGAAGATCTCTGTGAGTTCGAGGTCAGCCTCGTCTGCTTAGTGAGTTCCAGGACAACCAGGACTGTTACAGAGAACCCCTGTCTTGAAAAACCAAACAAACAAAAACTGCTGTTACTGACTAGGTAGTATTCAAACCCAGGCAGGCAGGCCGGCCAGCCACCTCCAAAGTTTGCTTTTTCCAAGTGGGCAGGCAGCCTGCAAGCCGAATACTACTTTAGCTGTTAACCGTGACCGGGGCGGGGATCAGATCTTATGTTAAAATCTGTCATGCCATGTGTGATGGTGTCATCACCACAAGGCAATGGGGAGACTGAGGCAGGAGAATTGAGGCAGGTTCAAGCACAGCCCGCACCACACAGCAAAGACACTATCCAGGGAACCTCAGCTAGTTCCCACCCACCGCGGTGCTCAGCCGCCGGCCAAGCCGCAGGTGCCGGGAGCCGTGCATTCTGCGGAGCACCCGGCACTCACCACGGCGCCGAGAGCGCTTCTCCTGCGTGTTCACGTATAGCGTGGACTTCCTCTTCCGCAACTTCATCTCTCCGGAGCGGCTGTGGAGACTGCAGAGGGCCGGGCCATGGTCTCCGGCCTCGGGCTCCATCCCCTCCCAGCCACCTGCAGCCGGCGCGGAGCTTGCCCCTCACCTTCTTGCAGGCGGACGCGCACCACTAAAATTGGGCCCCGGGAGCCACCGTCGTGGGACGGCTCCGGCACAACCACAGCCGGAAATGCGGCCGGAAGCGGCTGAGTAGTGCGGGAACATCACCTATGTCCCTGCAGTTCGGTCCTGGAAAAGACGAAAGTAAAGACGGGACGTTTTACTGCCCCCGGCACCTCGCCGGCCCGCCGAGGAGGCGCGTGGAGGTAACAGAGCGGAGGGAGGCAGTGAAGTGCTGAGAACCTGCCCCCGGGGGACCACGGCGCTCACCCCACACGCGGCGCGCCTGGGTCCTCGCGTGGGAACGCTTTCCTCGAGGTTCGCACAGTGACCGGAGAAAGAGTCACACGTCAGTGACGAATACAGCGCTCTGCCCGCGTGTCTGCCTGCACACCAGAAGAGGGCACCAGGTCTCACTGCAGATGGTTGAGAGCCACCGTGTGGTTGCTGGGAACCGAACTCAGGACCTCTGGAAGAGCAGCCAGTGCTCTTACCCTCTGAGCCCCGTGTCAGTGCATTTTTTATTATTAATACGTTTTCCGACACCCAGGGGATTTCTCTGTTCCGAATTATATACTTTCTCATCAATGTAATTTTTTTTTCTTGAGTTGATCTCACCATATAGATTAGTTTGGCCTTGCACTAAAAAAACATTTTTTTCTTGAGTTGATCTCACCATATAGATTAGTTTGGCCTTGCACTACACACACCCCTCCCGTCCCTGCCTCATGAGTGCTGGGGTTTAATGCGTGCACTACCACACTCGACCTCATCTATTTATTTTTGTGACCGAGTGTCACTGGCTGGCCTGGAACTTGGTATGTAGACCAGGCTGGCCTCAAACTCACAATACCCTCACGCGTATTGGGATCAACGTGTGTGCCACCGTGCCCAGCATTTTAAAAAGTAGTTGGTGGGAGCTGGAGAAATAATGTTTCAGTGGTTAAAAGCACCCACAGCACTTGCAGAATCCCCCCCCCCCCCCCCCCGTTCCGATTCCCAGTAACCACACACTGGCTCATTGCCTCCCGGGGCAGCAGGCATGCATGCCCTTGCATATACGTACATGAGAATGACCACTCATGCACATAAGATAAAAATGAATCTTTTAAAAGTGCGTTGGATGAGTCACAATAAGTGGGAACGTCTTTGCTTCGGGCCGAAGATGCCCTCTGCCAACATTGTTAGCTTTTGGGGTCGTAGAAGGGAAGGGTCTGTTATTGCATCTCGGGATTTTACCTAATAGTTATAAAAGATGTTTGGTCACGCCGGGCGTTGGTGGCGCACGCTTTTAATCCCAGCACTCGGGAGGTAGAGGCAGGCAGATCTCTGTGAGTTTGAGGCCAGCCTGGTCTACAGAGCGAGTGCCAGGATAGGCTCCAAAGCTACACGGAGAAACCCTGTCTCGAAAAACCAAAACCAAAAAAAAACCCCAAAAGGTGGGGGGAGGATTACTGAACAAACTGAGGTTCAGAAGACTCAGATTTAACAACAACAAAAACAAACAATAAACCACTACATGATAAACAGTTTCAGATGACCTCTGGATTTTGTACCGTTTTTTGTTTTTAAACTTTTTTCGATTGAACCAAAGCAAGATTGGAAAAATTGTCATTTGTGTGGTCAACTGTATAAACTAGGAGAAAACACGCCTTCCTTTCCCTGGTGTGCTTAAATTGCATTTGAGAGCTATTATAGTACAGTTAGCTGCTGCTGATTTTTGTGACTTGGGGCCTGGATTAGGAATCCGTGCCACAGTCCAGAAAGTGTGTGGCTCTTTCTGCTTTTCTCATTCACTAACAATTTATCAAGGAGATTAACAAGCAGCACTAATTTCTCAAGGGTGCTACATCCATTTGTGAGTTTCCATTATTTTCAGTTGTTAGAACTAGAAGCAAAATCTCCATTCTGTTTTTCTCAAAAAAGCACACAAATGATTTGCATTTGATATCTCCTAAAATATCAAAAGAAACTCAACAAAGTTTTGTTGTTTTGTTTTTCTTTGCTTTTTTTGACATATGGTCCTTCTGTGTAGCCTTGGCTGGCTACACTGTGTTGAGACCAGGTTGGACTCAAACTCACAGATCTTTGCCCACCCTCACTCCCAGCCCCATAGTACTGGGATTAAAGGCATGGCACCACCCCTGGCTCAATAAAGTTTTACAGCCTCTTAAAATTGTTTTTGTCATAAAGCTTGCTAAAAAATTATGACTACTACAGAAGGAATAATGAAAAGTCATTTGTCCGTCCCCTCTCTTTATTATTCTTTAGATAAGTTTTTTGATTTTTCGAGACAGGGTTTTTTTGTGTAGCTTTGGAGCCTATCCTGGCACTCGCTCTGGAGACCAGGCTGGCCTCGAACTCACAGAGATCCGTCTGCCTCTGCCTCCTGAGTGCTGGGATAAAAGACATTCACCACCAATGCCCGGCTTTGGATAAGTTTTAAACTGAGATGATCACATTGGATTTTCCTTCAGGTATCTTTTGGAGTGAAAGGTTTTGTATGACTTGAAAGGTGGTTGCCATTCCTTCCCATCCTTTTGCCGTTTTAAAAGTTACTGGTTTAAGCACACTGAGAATACTAACATGGCTGTTAGTGGCATAAGCGTGTCATCCTAGCTATTGGGAGGTGGAGAATCGTAATCTCTAGAGCAGCCTGCCTATCTCAAATAACCAAAACAAACAGGCAAATAAAGACAGAAAATAACGCAGTGGGAACATTCTGTATAGAAGAGTATTTAGCTTTGTCTCACAGCACCCTCTGACCTTCATTCCCTGTAGGTTCCTTTATAAGGTTTTTGTTGATTTGTTTTGTTTTTGTTTGTTTGAGGTCAGTCTGTTATGGTATCCAGACTGGCCTCAAACTGGTGATGTATGCAAAGGGTAACCTTGAGCTCCCTGTCCTCTTGGCTGCACCTGAGTGCTGGGAATATGGGAATGAACTACAATGCCTGGAGGAAGTACAAATTTTAATATAAAATATGATTTTTTTAACTGTTGGCAACTACATTGAAATTTTAGAAAATATTCCATAGTGAGTCCATATGCTGTCCTGCAAACCTTTATGTATTTGTATTTATTGCTTAGTGATTCTTTTTTGTTTGTTTGTTTCTTTGTTTTCAAGATAGGGTTTCTCTGTGTATCTGTCTGTCTAGGAACTCACTCTGTAGACCACGCTAGCCTCAAACTCAGAGATCCACCTCCCTCTGCTTCCCAAGTGCTGGG